GAACAGCCTAATAGACAATAGTAAGATCAATGCAACTGCAGAATAGCCTCTCACTGGAGGTAATACAGGCCTATCTAAGAGGCATAAGCAACCAAAAATTCGGTGAAAAGTACACTTGCATTAGACTGTGCATTGAAGAAATCTCAGATGACAATAGACATCCAGAAATTTTCCATTCACATCTTTTTTTTATGGGCATTTGAAACTTTTCTTGTTGGTTTTATTTTTGGCTGATAATTACTGCTTACTTTAAAATGAGGTGTCTTTTTCCTTCCTTTCTTTCTTTCTTTCTTTCTTTCTTTTTCTTTTTTTTTTTTTTTTTTTTTTTTTTTCTCTTATCAAAAAAGGAAAATGTAAAGTTTTCCAGTTTGGTGACCTATTCATTTCAATGAAAAAAAAATAAAAATATATATATTTCCTCTTGGAAAAAATATCACCTCTTCCAGCTAGCTACAAAAACAAGCATCTCTCACCTTCTGCAATAAACCACACATCAGGACATGTTCAAGAAGCTGTGAAGGAGGACCTGAACATTTTTTTATGGTATCTGAGCTTTGGCCTATGTTATTTTCTTTGGCATTTTTGGGAAACAGGTTGACTGGACAATGCATTCTTTTAATGCTTTGCCCCTAGTCTTAGGAGTGCAGCTGAAAAAATAAATCTTACTGTTGACCATTTTTTTCCCACTCTTCTGCTTCACTTTCACCTCACTCAGTTTGTCTCACTCACACTCACGTTGTCTCATTCAGTTTCACGCCAGTCAGTGCTCCAGGTTAATCCCACCCAAACGTCTCTCCATCTTTAGCTTTAAATAAAACTTCAGCTGCAGAGTATTTATCTAAGGTGGTAAATAACAGTTTGCTAATGATCAGTCTCTGAAATGAACCCACAGAAGGGGAATGGACAGCATTTTCATTGCTCTTCTGTGCCATGTCTTTTATTGATCTATCAGCTGGATGCTTCTGTGCTGCTCTGTTAAGTCCTTAGTAGTGAAAGAGCTGTGAATTATGTTTTTTTTCTAGGTAATATTGTCCTACCATGGCTCCTACCGACTTAGCATGGATGGGGCACCAGGGAATTAACTTTGAGACCCAGTGCGGAGGTCTGGAATCACACTGATCACTTCTTCTCCCACGGGGAGTGTAAGAAGAGCTGGACTTTCTGTCTGTTCCACCAACCCTCCACGGAGCAGAGGGCTCACGGGCACCCCCAGGCACTGCAGGTTGAACTTGCAACTTTGCCATATCACAGGGTACTTAAGGGCTCCTAGGAATGGCCACCCAAGGGACCTGTGGGTTTCAGGGTGTTTTTCTCTTCATTATTTTGCACATTTACTATCTGAAAGGCACATGAAGTGCCTCTGAATCCTTACTTCCTACTCCTGAGGGGGGATTTGTAATAGAATATTGAAATTGTAATATTGATTTTGGATCCTCCTCTCTTACTTTTGCCTTCTCTCCTCTACCTTTTTAATTATAAAGAAAAATGATAACATAGGCAGACATTTTGGAAATATTTTGCCATCTGAATTCTTCAGGGGTTTGCTTGCTGCAGCTTGTAGGCTTATCTGCCACATCACAGAGACCCTTTCAATGTTTGACAGCAACTTTAGTACTTGCAAGGAAAACAAAGAACTTCAAATCACTGTGGCCTAGACCGCTTGTGTCCCAAAAGAGAGATTTATAAGTTTTTAAAAAGTGCATCCAGAATTAAAGCTGTGTGAAAATCTGTCTTTCTTGGTTAGAAAAAGCCACTCTGGTGGATTACATAAAACTGGGTGCTGATTGTGGTTTTGTTTTGGTTTTTGGTTTGGGGTTTTGGTGTTGGGTTTTTTTGTTGTTGTTGTTTGGGTTTTTAATTTTTTTTTTATTTTTTATTATGGCTGCTTCTTATTTTTGGAAAGGAGTTCAATAAAACAAAGCTCTTCCTTAGAAAAATCCCAACTAAAAAGTTTCTTGAGCATCCTCTTGAAGCACATGAGTAATTGCCCTGATGTCAATATGGGTATGCACATGCTTCAAACTGGAATTAAGGACCCTGAAGAGCTGTGACCAAAGTAAAACTATATAAAAGACAAACAGGGGTTATTGTGTTTCTGACAGTTAAGGGAACTGTCTGTCCTCAAGCTTTGCAATAGCTATCTGTGCCGTACCCATAGGCCTAGCTGGCTTCTGTCCTAGCGTTTTCAGGAAACATCTTGTGCAGTAATGTCACTGTCTACCATGGGAAAATCAGAGACTTCCAGTGGTATTTTGGAGGCTGACTGCAAGTTCCACATCAAACCAGCCACGGGAGTATGATAACACTGCGCTGAGCGAAGAACAACTGACCTATTTCTAAGTCTTATTACTGAGAGCGCAGCCCTGTGTTGAAGTCAGGAAGCTAACTTGTGGCCATCTTGACTAAAAATCCTCTATCTGCTTCTAGGGTAGTGGTATGTATGCTTTTGAGCACTAGAAAGCAGATAAGCTGAAGTAAGAGCTGGATCTACACCCTTCTGAGCTTCTGGCTATCCTTGCTGTCACCAAATGTCCTCTTCAGTCTAACCTGGCATGGTACTCCTTGTGCTAAATGAGATCCTTCCCTGGGATATGATCCTCCACTGTCCTTCTGGGGCCACATGGACTTGGCTAACTCCTTTTGTTAGGTGCAAAAAAACAGACACACTTTTTTTTTTTTTCCTGAAGAACTCTCTCCTGCTAAAAGACAGGTTCATCTTCAGCTCCTGCAACAGGCTCACCGAAGTGGGAGTCTAATGGAGAATAAGGACTTCTGAGCTACATTTACTCCATTTTGATAGGGACTCTGTATCGCTAATAAAGGCTCTTATAAGCAGAGGATGGAAGAGATCTGGTGGTAACAACTGAACTGATTTTGCTGGACAGCAGAGCATTAAAATCAAAGTAAAAGCCAGGAAGGCTAAATGACTTCCTATTCAGAAGTGGCAATGCAAGACTGTTCTTCTGCTTTGCAGAAGCAAGAGAAAGAAAAAAAATACTCTAAGAGAGAGATATGGAATTGCATTGCCATTTTATGCGCTGATTCCTTTGTACATAATTTATTGGGGGAAAAAAAACCCAACCCTGAACAACAAATCTTAGTCCAACTACTGAATAATCTTTTTATAGGAAACAAGCTGAGACCTCATCATCAGCTTGATCATGAAAAGGTAGAGGCAGAACAGTTCGCAATGATCCATAATAATGAAAAGACCATAGACTCATACCAGTGAATCTTTAATGCACAGGTGTCTACAGCCCTGCACTTTCTTACGTGACTATAAGAAACAAGCATATCCTCAGTGATCACAGCTATGCTATGATATAAAGTTATTGCTTGGTGCGAGACAACTAGGAATACACTTGTGTTCCTTGATCCCTTTGCAGATGTTATGGAAAATCTCTCCGACAAAGACAGTCCCTGCTTTAACAAAATTGCATGCATGCATCTCCCACTCTCCCCCAGCAAAACCTGCAGTAAAAAGCCAGTGTGATGAAGCAAAAAGCATTTGGATACGGAAACACATTTTGGTTTCAAGCTTCCAAGGGGCCTTGTCATAAGCAAGGAAAAGAAAAGAGGTATTTGAAGAGGGAAAATGCATTCACAGTTATCTCATATAGTCACATATAAAGGAGAGTCTAAACTATGGAGGCTGTATCTTGCACATGGACCTAATATGTTTATTGGAAGGTTTCCTAATCCACTTCATGTTGTCTTCAGTGCAGCACCTCTTTCAAAGACATTTTGATCCCACTCAATAATTCTCAGTGGAAAGGATACAGCTCTGAAGAGCAGAACAATACATTTTTCAAAGATACTGGAGATACCAGTAGGTTGAAGATAGAGATTACCTGCCTGCACCTTGGATGGATCAAAAAAAACCCTGAATCAAAATCAGTGAATCTTGGACATTATGTCTGTAATGGCCTAGAATGGTTACCTAACCCACCTCTCTATCACTAATTTGGGAGTGCAGACTGCCTGTTGGAGCTCAGACCCACCCCGGGTTTATTGGGAAATCTCTGCTGTGGAACAGTTTTAAAAACAGGGAGACCTCCTGTCCCTGTAACAAATACATACAGTTTTATATTTCTGTTTCTTAAAGAAATCTAATGGAAAAACCAGCCAGGGGCGAAAAATGTTTCTATTTTTGGAAATATCTCATTTTTGTTATGGGTGATAGGCTGGGATTCCAACAAAACAAGCTGCGTCTTCTGATATTTTTGACACTGTTACACGTATCAGAAGTTCCCTTGGAGCATCAAGCTGGCTCCTTTCCAACAACACAGAGCATATGAGTCTAACAACCAGACCCATGTTCAGATTTGCCTAGGTCCTCACTCAGGAAAAGCTTCCTTTTGTTGGGTTTTATCTACACACAGAAGTTAACAGTAACTGAGCAAGAAGTGAGCATGGATCCTTCTGTTAATTTCTTGGGATTGGGAAGAAAAAAATTAGGGGTTATTTAGTTGTCAGAAAGACATATTTACATAAAGTTGTTATGCTGGGATGAAGTTGGATACAGACTATACCGCATGAAGAATGAAGAATGCTTTGAAACGTTTGCAAGACAGAGCTACTGAGACAAACACTGTCCCAGTCCAGTCACCTGGGATTAAACTGCAGCCCAGTCCCATCTCTTAATTGCAGATTTTCTTCAGCCACCAGAAATGCTCTCTTTGGCTGAGCAAGGGGATTCAGGACAGCTGATGGCTCTCCTCTAGTCACCAGGAAGACTTTCTAGAGATGCAGGATGCCCCTGGGGTGGGGAACTTGGCTCATCCCTCGTTAAGCATCCTTCCACCTCATTTTCTAAAGAGACACACACACAAACGGTTCCTGGTTTATGTGTGTGTGAGCATTTGTGCAGTGTGGCTCTAGCCAGAGGCCTAAGTGAAAAAGGCAGAAGCTAGAGGGTTGCAGAGCTGAATATTTTTGAGGATCTATAACACAAAGAGAGGCTACAACCACAGCTGACACCCCCTTCCCCATGCAGTTACCTGTGCTAGTGCTTTGTATCCAGTGGTTCCCATAACCCTTCAGTAGGGACGATTGGCATCTTTTGGCCTCTTCAGCTGCACCTTCAGCCTCTTCATGCCAATCTGGAAGCCATTCATAGCCTGGATAGCAGCTTGGGCACTGGCAGGATTGTCAAAACTCACAAAGCCTGTCAAAACATGAGGCAAGGCAGGGGGCTTAATCAGCTGAAGGGAGCCAAGGCACGTACATGCAACGACCACTGAGAATGAACATGGGGGACAGGGTGAGGGCAGTGGGAAGGAGGCAGTGAGCAGGTAGGAGGGCAGGCAGATGGGCAGGAGAGTGTGGAGAGGATGGTTGCCAATGGGGGATGAAGAGTAAGAGGAGTTGCTACAGATCAGTGTCCCAGGATGCAATGCCTGGTCTGAGTGCCAGCTTGAACATAAGATTATGTGAAGCACGGGAATCCAAATGTTGGTGCCACAGTAACAGCACAGACAAGATTTGTGTCACCTCTGAGCCCAGTGTCAGCAGATGTGATGCATGGTCTCAAGGCACTCTGTCTTGCTCTTTTTCCCTCCACCACGACTTGGGTAAATCTCTAGACCCTCCTTCACTCACCAGAATAACCTTTCCTTTGCTTTCCTATCTTCACAATGAAGACAACCTGATATACCTACTGCTACTTCCTTATTATGGCAATATAAGTAAAATGTGAATTTAATAAGTTCTCCATTATGGTATTCATTGGCATGAATAGTTTGATTGTTGGCCACTTAAACAGTATAAGGAGCTTTATTAACTGGCAGTTTCTGCAGACTTTATGTTGACTCTGCAGTTGAGAAAGATGAAGACTAGTGCGTTCCTAAAATGGTTCTCATAACTTTCATATCTTGCCAGAAAATTATCCAATCAGCCATGGCGCACACCCAGCAGTAGAAACACCTATAATGACTGAATGTTGTTATTTACAGGCCACACAAAATGACATTCTTTGTCTCAATGTAAGACTTGCTCTCTGGGGATCAGAAGAGCCAAGATAGGTCAGAACCACACAGGATGCAATGAATCTAACCCATTCAGCTTTGGGGAGGTTTTCTGGTGTGAGTTTTGGGTGGAGTTGGGGGGGTGGGGGGTGGTTTGTGTGGGTGGTTTTTTATGTTAGATCCAGCAAAAGGCCTTATCAGACTATATATGACTTTATCTTGATGACCATGGGTCTGAGATATTAAAGAGGCAGGGGGCCATCACAGAATCACATCACAGAATTAATTCTGCTACCTTTGCCAGAAATGTCCCTGTGTGCCAACATTTTTGAGCACAAACTCAGGGTAACACAAGCCTAGACCAGCCTGCACTCCAGACAAAGACATCTGTTTTCCCCACCCCTGCAAAACTCAGTCAGCACAAATCAACCCTAGGAACCCAGTGTCTCTCAAAAGACAGGCTGAAATGAAGACACGGTATGAGAGCCCCTCAAAAAGCTAATCCTGAGAATTTGCTGCCAGGTATGCACCTGCTCCTGACAGCAGTAAGAGGCAGGGCTCACACCCTTGGGCTGTACTGTGAATGTGTTCAGCAGCACCTCCTTCCTGGTCTAGTTTCTCCTTGAAAACAAGTCTCACGGGTGATACAGGGTGGCTTGCATTTGAAAAAGACACGCACACACCTGCACACAAGCACACTTTCTCACCCTCGCATTAAAGCTGTACTCCCTGCCTTTGGATAATAACATAATTTTATGAGAGGTCATAAACCCTGTGGTCTTAGCCTCAAAGTGAGACAAGTTTAACGAGTATGGCAGATGTAGCTTTAAGAGGAAGGCCCATGGAATAAACAGGCATCTCGCTTTATCCTCCTCTCTTGAAGCCAAAGCTCCAAGTAACTGGCTGTCCATGCAGTTTTCCTGCCAACCACCTGGATGATGAGGCACCAACACTGCACCTCTGAAGATGTGAGCAAAAGTGTTGTTCAAGTCTCACAGCAGTCATCAATCTCTAGACAGAAAACTGGAGAGTTATGGTGAGTAATGAGCTGGGGTATTAATCAATGACAATGGATCTGCTTTTGCAATCTCTTATTAGCCAGTAAGCACCTGGTAATGTTCCCAGTTTACATTTGGCTAGTTGAATAATCTATCAGTCAACAAGGTCCTATGATTTGATTTCAGCAAAAGAACAGACTTAACACCTCTTGATGTCACCTGAGTTGATTCAGTCTTTAAATACTGCTGGGAAATCCTTTACTTGAGCTTCAGCTTGAACTTTGCTGTCTAGCCACCTCACATCTTTGAATATAGGATATAGTGAAAGCCATTTCTTTTTAAAATCACCTCTGAATTGCTAATACTCCATCCAAGACCCATCAGTTACATCTATAACAGTAAACTAAAACTGTGCCAGGGAAGTTCAGAGAAACTGGGATCCAATCATCTGTACCACTGAATTTTCAGAAAGGTCCTTGACATAGTTTTGGCTTGCGCCTAACTCCAAACAATTCCTGGACAAAGTCTGAGTATTAGCACAGAACAGAGGCTGTTTTCAGTAGTTAGCTTGGATGTGGCCATGATATTCTGGAAAGTAAGAGAATTTAATAGTTTGGGTGTGGGCCATTCTGTGCCAGCTGGCTCCAGTGCTAGGGGAAAGTGCCAGGTATATTTACTTTACTAATACAGACACAGCTACCAAATATCAAAGCTGAGTTGGCTGCAGCTGGATAATTACTTATGTCATGTCTTTAGAGAACCTAGCTTGCCTGGGAACTTTGATTTCTACTCTTGTAACTGGTCGTGTTGCAATGTGCCTCTGACTAAAGGTGCAGATCTAGAGTGTGTCTACACATGGATCCTTTTGTGAGAAAATAACCTTGACACCCTAAAATAATCAGTGGAGATCTAGTCAATATAGTCAGTGGAGTGTAGGACACAATTTCTCTCTTTTTTCAGGTCATTCCTAGCTGTGCTCAGATGAATCAAGTCCCACCCACTGTGTAGCAAGGACCAGTGCTGACTGCAATGAAGCCAGACAACCTATCTTAAATCAAAGTACCTCTGTTGTGGGATTTACCTTGTTCTGTAGTTGGGACTAACATCTCAAGGTAAGATGTTGTTAACTGACTAATGCCTGGGTGAGTCGCTCACCAAAGGGTTATCAACTGCTGAATCAAACTCCGAATGCATGGAAACTGCACCAGAAATGCTGCCAAGTATGATGGAAGTCTATTTTACAGAGTCATAGAATGGTTTGGGTTGGAAGGAACCTTAAAGACCATCCAGTTCCAACCCCCCTGCCACGGGTAGGGACACCTTCCACTAGACCGGGTTACTCAAAGCCCCGTCCAGCCTGGCCTTGAACACTGCCAGGGAGGGGGCAGCCACAGCTTCTCTGGGCAACATGTGCCAGTGTCTCACCACCCTCACAGTAAAGGATTTCTTCATAATATCTAATCTAAATCTACCCTCTGTCAGTTTAAAGCCATTAGCCCTTGTCCTGTCACTACATCCCTCCCGTCTTTCCTGTAGCACCCTTTAAGTATTGGAAGGCTGCTACAAGATCTCTCTGGAGCTGACTCTCCTCTAGGCTGAACAGCCCCAACTCTCTCAACCTATCTTCACAGAGTAGGTGCTCCAGCCCCCTGATCATCTTCATTGATTCCTCTGGAGCTGCTCAAGCAGGTTCATGTCCTTCATATGCTGGGGTCCCTAGAGCTGAATACATGACTGCAGGTGGGGTCTCACGAGAGCAGAGTAGAGGGGGAGAATCCCCTCCCTTGTTCTGCTGGTCACGCTTCTCTTGGTGCAGCCCAGGATGCAGTTGGATTTCTGGGCTGTGAGTGCACTTTGCTGGCTCATATTCAGTTTTCAGTCCACTAATATCCCCAAGTCTTCTCTGCAGGGCTGCTCTCAATCCACTCTTCACCCAGCCTGTATTTGTGCTTGGGGTTGTCTTGACCCATGTGCAGGACCTTGTACTTGGCCTTGTTGAACTTCACAAGGTTTGCATAGGTGTACCTCTCCACCCTGTCCAGTTTCCTCTGGATGGCACATCCCTTCCTTCCAGAATGTCATCTGCACCACACATTTTGGTGTTGTTGGTAAACTTGCTGAAGGTGCACTCAATCCCAGCGTCCATGTTGCCAACAAAGATGTTAAACAGCGTTGGTCCCAACACGAACCCCTGAGGAGCCCTACTTGTAACTGCTCTCCACTTGAACATTGAGTGGTTGACTGCAACTATTTGAGTGTGGCCACCCAGCCAATTCCTTATCCACTGAGTGGTCCATCCATCAAATCCATGCCTCTCCAGTTTAGAGACAAGGATGTCATATTTTGCATAAGTCCAGGTAGATGACACCAGCTGCTCGTCACTTATCCACAAACACTGTAACCCTGTTGTAGAAGGCCACCAATTTGTCAGGCACGATTTGCCCATAGTGAAGCCATGTTGGCTGTAAACAATCACTTCCTTATTTTCTATGTGCCCTAGAAGACTTTCCAAGAATATTCACACCATGATCTTGCCAAGCACAGAGATGAGACTGACTGGCCTGTAGTTCCCTGGGTCTTCCTTTTTCCCCTTTTTAACAATGGGGGTTATGTTTCTGCTTTTCCAGTCAGTGGGAACTTCACAGGACTGACATGACTTCTTAAATGTGATGGATGGCTTATCCACTTCATCTGCCAGTTCCCTCAGGACCCTCGCATGCGTGTCATCACATCCCATGGATTTGTGCACCTTCAGGTTGCCTAGATGGTCACAAACCTGATCTTCTCCTACAGCGGGCAGTTCTTCATTCTTCCAGTCCCTGCCTTTGCCTTCTGCACCTTGAATGGTGTGACTGGAACACTGGCCAGAGAAAACTGAGGCAAAAAAATCAAGTACCTCAGCCTTCTCCATATCCTGGCTAACCAGGTCAATTGTCTACTTTTGCCTAGACCTTTAGTTCGGTGATAAGCCCTGGTGCTGAAATGCTGATAGTTGTACCTCTGCAAGAACCTTGGCTTTCAATAAACTCACAAAGCTGCACTAATTTTTATCATTACTTTGTTTCTGAGATAGAATTCTAAGGCCCTTTCCTCATTCTGTGTAAAGCTGTAAATAAGACAACATTTTAACAAATGGGACTAATAAGAGAGATCAGAGGTGCATTTGCTCACTATATTTCATTTAGACCACATAATGAAGCTGG